TTTTTTATCTTCTTTTAGAACTGTTTAAAGATTAAAAGATGCATTCAAATATATAGTTATCTATACTGAGGATAACTGTAAAAAGTAATTATTCTAAGTTAATTGAAAAGTCTGGAAAATGACTAATTGTGTATTTAATGATTAAAAGATGAGTGGCTATGCATATATTTGCCTTCATTAAATATTGATTTAGGATTCTTAATGTGTTTTCACAACATGTAATTTTGACAGCAATTTGTGTATAGCACAAAACATTTGGTATCACAATAATTAATTTGATTTCTTTACAAACACAGAACACAAGCCCAATGGTAAACATGTAAATAACTTAGTGCAAACATATTCTAGACACCACATAATTTAGTAATAAAAGCTCCAGAATTGTAAGTATTTAATTAAAACAAATCTGGACTATACTTGCATTACCCAACTATAACATTAGGGTACTCATGACTTCATACTTACTGCAACATAAGGAAATCTATCTATTAATGCTACAAATTAACACTCTTATATATATGTATCTTTTATATGTATAATATATATTTATATATATTTATATTATATAGATTATATTACATATATCTTACAGAGTACAAATATAATTGTTTAAAACAATAAAAAGTAATAAAATCAAAAGAGAAAAAGGTATTCATTCATTTATTCAAATACCTATTGAGTACTGATTATATATGTATTAACTGAGTATTCATGTCTCCTATCCACTGAGTTACTATTAAAAATATTTCCAGGGGTTGAAGTTCAGCCAGAGATTAACCTGTTGGTTGGGATGTCCACATCCCACAGTACTGGGATGTTATGCTCCTGCTCCTAACTCCAGCTTCCTGCTAATGTTCACCCTGGGATGGCCCAAGTAGTTGGGGCCCTGTTGCTTAGTGGAAGACTTGCATTGAGCTTCTGCTTTTGGCTTTGGCCCATCAGGGGCTGTTGTTGGAATTTGGGAGTGAAACAATGTTTGAGAGGGAACTCAACATCAATTTCTAAATTCTCCCTCTCTCTTTCTTTCCTCAAACAAAATTTACAAATTCTGAAAATAAGTTTCTGGGTTAAAAAGAAGACATTTAGACAGAACTGCTGCTCAACTACTGCCACCTCAGGTCATTAACACAATGCCAGATAAAGTGCATTCCCACACCACTACTTACCCTACACACAAACAAAAAATTTATTTTTTTACATTTTGGAAAAACACTAAATATCTCTGCTCTTCAGCATTTTTTTTGTGATCTGGGGAATTAGGATAATATCCCCATATTGAACATCCAGATGGCTGGTACCATATTATTAAATTCTAAGAGACATTTGATAATCATATAGAGATTTACAATACTTCTCTTATTGAGGCTTTAAACTATTAAACATCTATCTGCCTTTTTGCTAATTACCATCTACCAAAGTAGAAATTGGGAAATATTTCCCGGAATTCTCTATTATCAACAAGAGTGTTAAGTTTTTGGGGAGAGCAAAAAGTGCCCAAGTTATTCAAATGATAAAAAAAAATGTTTTTTTGGACTATAGTATAATGAGATTTTGCTTTTAGAAAAAAATAACATAAATAATAGTAAGAATTATTTTTGCAGAGGAAGCTGCTGTCTTTTAAGTGGCAGGTTTTTTTAAAGATTTATTTATTTTTATTGGAAAGGCAGATTTCCAGAAAGGAGAGAAAGAAAGATCTTCCACTACTGGTTCACTCCTTAAGTGGCCACAATGGTCAGAACTGAGCTGACCCAAAGCCAGCAGCCAGTTGCTCATTCCACGTCTCCCATGCAGATGCAGGGTCCCAAGGCTTTGGGCGGTCCTAGACTGCCCTCCCAGGCCACAAGCAGGGAGTTGGAAGCAAACACAGTCGAGGACACAAACCAGCACCCATACAGGATCCCAGAGTGTGCAAGGCTAGGATTTTAGCCAATGAGCCATCACAACAGGCCCCTAAACGGCTTTTTTAAAAAGATATGTTTGAACAGGCTTATTTATAACCAACTGTTTCTCACAGTAACTAGTTAGACGGACCAAAAAAAAAAAAAAAGGAAAAATCAAAACAAGAAGGAAACCAGGAAAAATGGGTTGTATTACAAGAAAAACATTGTTCAAAAGTTAAATTATAAAAATTCAGAGAAAATCCAGAGGGAATATAAGCCAATTATTAGAGATATCAAGAAACTTTAAATATAACTAGCCATAAAAATATATATACATAAAAATGAACCATATTTCTATGTATACCTGTAAAAGTTAGGAAGCATTAGTTTTAATGCTTTCCCCAAAAACACACATGCATACACACACACACACACACATGCACAACTAGACTGTAAGCTACTGAAAACTGATTTACAAAATACTTTGAATAGTTGTAGCAAGTTCATAAAATCTGTATTTTAGTCATCTGTTGCTACATAAACAATTAATCCAGCCATAAGGACCTAACACTACCATTTAATTTTGCTAAAGATTTTATGGACCAAATTTTAGGAAGTTGTCAGCTGCTCAGGTCTCATTTGAGATCCTAGATGCAGTTAAATCATAGGTCAGTGAAGTCACTGCACTGGATTTCCCACATGGCTTATTCACATGGCTGGCACTTGAAGCTGACATTTGCCGACTGCTCAGCCATGGCTGTGGCTGTCTCCAGCACAAGGGTTTTAGGATATCTGGACATAACAAGTAACCTCAAAGAACCGGTGGATTTTCTGACTTAGCCTTAGAGGTCAATCAGCATTATTTCTGTCCAGACTCGAGGGGAAAGCAACAAGGTCATAATGTAGATGATCACATAGAACAGACATTTTTTGTGGGTACTTTAAAAATGTACAATCTACTGTAACCTGTATGCAAAAAACCCCCAAATATTCACAAATATTAAAGAATATACAAACAAGTGCAAGAATATGCAATATTCACAGGAAAGAAAAGTAGATATTGTAAATATATTTACTTTTAATAAATGTACAAACCCAATGTGATTCCCTAATATGAACTTTCTGAATCCGAACTTTTTCCTAAAACTGTCAGATGAAGGTAGTATGAAAACTGGTGCAGAAACAAACTGAAGACTTGAACTGAACACAGAAAGGCGGGAGACAGACCCACACACACAGAAAACTGTAACGTGTTTCAAAAACAGCACAGCATAAATAAGCAAAGAGTGAAACAAATGGTTTTCTAAGAGAAATAAAATGGAATTTTATTTATGCCTACCACATACCACCACTTCCAGGATGTTTGAAAAAATACCTGAATATTTATTGAATGCAAATCATTTAAAATATTCAATTAAAAGTATAGGAAAAGATCCTTCTTGCTGTTTGGATAAAGGAGATGCCTTGAATTAGACAATCAAAGATGAATAAATCAGAATATATGCATAATAAGAATTCCATTTTATCAAAATACATCATAATGTGGGTAAAGAGATATTTGTTATTACATGAATCTACTAACAACAAATTGAGAAAATCTATGGCAACTGTTCATAATTATAAAACAGTAGTTTATACAGGCCTTGGCACCAAGCCTCTGCCTGAGGCACTGGTATCCTATGTGGATACCGGTTCCTGTCTAGCTGTTCTACTTCCAATGCAGAGCCCTGCTTATGATCTGGCAAAGCAGAGGAGGATGGCATAAGTCCTTGGGTCCCTACACCCACGTGTGAGACCTGGGGGATCACAAATTAATCTCTTGTGCCAACTGGAGAGCAATACAGTAAATAAATGGGCTATTTTCATATCAGTAAACAAATACTTAACCACTGCCAAAGTCTCAAGTAAAGTGTATGATTTTCAGTGACATGTTAGACAGTGAGGATGACAGAAAATCCAAGTCACAATAATCTTATTGATATGAACATACTTGCTACCATTCAATAAACACGTAACTCTGAGTACCAGATGCTGTGGAAAATAACGACAGTGCAGCACAGTTCCCACTTTTTAGGTCTATAGTCTGGTTAGTAAGCACTAAAATATACAGAGAGAAATGAGTATAATTTTTATTAAATTTCCAACGAATCTATTTTTGTACATCTCAACTATCTCTACATCACTAACATGTTCTGGAGTTCTATCATCTTTTCTAATAATCCTTTGCATTCATTTTATTTTATCCCAAACTGTTCGCTTTAGCTGATATTAAAATCATTTTAGAAATTCAAGAAAACCTTACATGTATCCTTTGCAAAAACTCACTTGAATAAAATGCCTTTATTTTTCTAACATGTGATTGCCAGTTTCATTAAGTAATTGCAACAAACACATTATAATAATAGGAGATGTTAATAATGGGGAGGTTGGGTGTTGTTTACCAAGTGTGACAAATACATCATACTAACATGAGATACATCTGCTTTCTTCCCTGGGTGCAGAATAGCAGGAAGCTGGGTCAGAAGAGAGGTGGGACTTAATCTTAGGCACTATTCATGTAGGATGTAGAAACCCCAAGTGACAACTCAAGCGCTGTGCCTATCAAAAATTCATTCTTTTGAAAAAAGCTGAATACAGCTGAGAATGTTTACAACACACATTACAGACAAAAGTACAATTATAAAAGTTTCAATTATAAGGAGCGCTCAGAACAGCTATCAACACAATACATGCAAGGAACATGAGCAGATAATTAACAAAAACAATAAGCAATATGAAAAAACTTTCACCCTTTAAAGTAGTTTTTTAAAATTAAGGTTGAAACAACAATGTAGCAAAACATTGATAACCAAGTAATACCAACATGGGTAAGATTTTCTGGAAAAGGTGCTACTTGAGAGAATGCTGACTGATTTAACATCACAAGGAAGATTTGGTATTATGAAACAAACATTAAAATATGCATAATTCCATTTCAACAATTCCTGATAAAATGTATCCATAAAGAAAGAGTAAGAAACACACACACACACATATTTATAAGTATGAAAGATATATGACAGCAAAATTTTCTTACGCTGCTTTCATGCTAACTTACCGGAAACAATATAATAGCCTTACCTGAACCGTACGCCCTGCATTGATATGTTCTTCATGCAACTTGTCCCAGACTCTACACCTTTGATACTACAAAGAAGAGGAGGAAAGATATTGAATTTTTCATCACAAAAGGATTTTTTCCAGTTTTTGCAAAAATCAGCACTCATCCAATATGAAATAGACTAGCTACACAACATAGCAATTAGTTCCCTTTCCAATGACCACAAAAGCAGGACATTTTCTAGAAAATTACACATTGAGATCTGGAAATAACAAGACAAATTTTTAAAAATCAACAGACTTGGGTTGCTTTACTTTGGTGAAAAAACTAACATTGCAAACTCTATGAAAATTAAAACTATAAACTAAAGAAAGAGGATGTAAAGATGTGAAAACAGAAATCCTAAGAAAATTCTACTGTGTATGGCAAATTACAAATGTTTGTCAATGACAATGTTAAGTATTAAAAAATTATCATTTGAATTTGAAAAAAGACTGTATACTAGAATAAATAAAATGAGACTGAGCCGTTAATGCAGGTTTCATCTTTTATCAAGGCAATATTTAGCTTTCAAAATATTATCCAAAAAAGTTGATAACAATAGAAAATTTTGACAGGAATCTTAAGAAAATATGACAATATCATAGTAGAACATCTATATAGAATAAAAAATCAACATCAAATATCATGTTCTTTATAGTTGGAATGAAAAAACTAAATAACAAAAATGTCAACAGATCTGAAGGATGACATTGCACACATTGTTGATATAGTATGCACTAAGACAAAATGAACCTGGAAATAATCCGAAAGGATAGAAACGTGGAAATATCCCACATACGCATCAGATAAATGTATAACGGAATATAAGTGGGGAGCACTGAAAAACTCTCCAGGGCATTTTAATATTCCTTTTTCTTCATAGTCTTTAAATTTATCAGTGAATGATGCAGCAAAAACCTTTTTAACACTCATAAAATTTTCACATTGCCTGAGAACTAAACAAGAACTATTAAGCCTAAAAATAACTAGAGTACTAAGAAGATACGTTTACCAGACATAAACTTAACAGCATCATCAAATCACTTTCATTAAAGAAACAGACTGAGATCTCATGGAGGTCAATGCTGCTGAATTTACTGAAAGAGTACCGGAGGAGAGTAGCACGAGGAGGAGACGTAGCTAGGAGGATGCCGAAACACAACTGCGAGGATCTGCAGGGTAATTACTCATCAGCACTTTCCTATGAAGAAACTACCTGAGGTCGGAAAAGGAATCACTGAAAAACAAGTGGAATAACCCCTAAAGGCCACACATCAAAAACAGCTCCTGTGACACAACTTAAGTAGAAAATTTTACAAGACACAGAGCCTCAGGTAGACTATTCCCAAATGCTGTGCAGAAAATCAGCAATGAACTAAAGCCTGTTCTGACCCCACACAGGAAAACATAAAAGAAAGCTTCACTCCTGGCTTCTGGCTTCTGCCTGGGCCAGCCCTGGCTATTTCAGCCATTTGGGGAGTGAATAAATGGATGGAAGACATCCATCTCTCTCTCTCTGTGTCTTTCAAATAAGTAAAGCTTTGTTTTTAAAAAAAGATAAAACTAAAAATATTTAAATACAAAATAGATATAAAAGTATTCTAGGGGCCATCAATGTGATATAGTGGGTTAAGTCACCATCTGCAATGTTGGCATCCCACATAGGTGTCAGTTCAAGTCCTGGTGCTTCACTTCTGACCTAGTTCCTTGATAATGGCCTGGGAAAAGGAGTGGACTATGACTCAAGGGCTTGCATCTCTGCACTCAAGTGGGAGTCCTGGAGAAGCTCTTTGCTCCTGGCTTCAGCTTTGCCCAGCACCAGGCACTGTGGCCACATGTTTGTTTGTTTTTTTCTCTTCATAACATTTTCCAATAAATGCCTTTTTTAAAAAAAGCATTCAAAAAGTTCGATACCCAGCAAAGTTTCACAATGTCTGCCAACAGTAAGCAATTACCATATATGAAAAAAAGCTCAAAAATATGATCTGCATTGAGAAAATCAGTCAATAGAAATGAGCAAGATATGATAAAATGATGGAATAAATTATATTATAAGCAGCTACCAAGTACTTCATGTAGCCAAGAATATAGAAAACAATCAGTATATATAGAAGAGACATAAAAGGCATCTTTATTTATGATTTGATAGGTAGAAGCACAGGGGGGCAGGGAGAGAAGGAATGTTCCTTTCTTCTGAGTCATTTCCTAAATACCTGCAATGATTGGGGCTGCCCCAAGCTGAACATGGGAACTCAGAAGGCAAGGTAGGTCTGACACATAGGTAGCAGAACACAACTACCTGAGCCATCATCACTGCCTCCTAGGCCCTGCATTGGCAGGAAGTAGGATCAGGAGCTGGAGCCAGGAACTGAACCCAGGTATCCTGATACGGGGATACGGGGTGTGCCTTTTACCTACTAAGCTGAAAAACTGCTCTACAAAACATCCTACCATATTAACTTTCTAGAGGAAAAAAGATCTGAAATGAAAAGTACACTGGATATGATTATTAGCACAGGAAACAATGCAAAAGAAAGGATTTAATAAACTTCAAGAAAAGCAATAGAAATGATACAAATGAAATACAGAGAAAAACAGATTGAAAATAAATGACAACAGCACCAGTGAGTTGTGGATTAAATGATAAAATTATATACAAATAATAGAGTAGATGGGACTGGAAAAAAAATTTTTAAATGGCCAAAGCTTTTCCAAATTTGGTAAAAAGCATAAATCCACAAATGTAAGATGCTCAAAGAACAATAAAGTGAAAAAAAACTGTATTAATGCATATCACAACAGTACTACTTCTAAGAGGGGGCTTGTATTGTGGCATAGCACGTGAGGCCACCATCTACAATACCAGCATCCCCTATGGGTGACAATTCATGACCTGGTGACTTCATTTCCATCCACCCTGATGAGAAAAGTAGCAGAAGGCGGCACATGTTCTTGGACCTCTGATGCCCACGTGGGAGACACAGATGGAGCTCGGGACTGCTGGCTTTAGCTTGGTCCATCCCCGACCATTGCAATCATCTGGAGAGTGAATCAGCAGATGGAGAATCTCTCTGTGTTTCTCCCTCTCTTTCTGTAACTTTTTCAAATAAATAAATAAATGGAAATAAATCTTTAAAGCAATGACAGAGAATCACTTAAAATAATTTCTGACAAAGAAAAAAATATTAAAACATCTCGAGGGGATGATGTTTGACCGAGCATTAGGACATCTGCATACCCTATGGTAGTATCTGGATTCAGCACCTGCTTCTGGCTGCTGGCTCCAGTTTCCTAACAAAATATAGCAGTGATGGTTCAAGTGATTCAGTTCTTGCCACCCACATGGGAGGCTGGACTGAGCTCCTGACCCCCGTGTCTGGCCTAAGCTAGCTCTAGCCATTATGGGCATCTGGAGATAAACCAGCAGATGGGAGCTCTCTCTATCCGTCTGACTGTCTCTCTCAATCTGTCTTTCAGATAAGAAAGAAAAAAACATTTTTCATTCTTCCCAAAAAAGCAGGCAGAATGAAAAAAAAAAATACCTACACTACAAGCAGAACAAAGATGTAAGACTTCTGAGAAATATACAAGCCAGAAGAGAACAGAGAAAGATCTTAAAGGTACCAAAAAACAACAGAAAAGTCAAAGTAGAATTCCATTTGCAGAGGAAATATTTTTTAAATAGGGCAAAATTAGAAAAAATAAAAGACAGGAATCATCCCCAGTGGGGAGGCAGTTGGATTCCTGCCACCTATGTGGCTTGCATTCCCAGCTCCCAATGTCAGCGTCAGCCCAGCCCCCACCACTGCATACATCTGAGGAATGATCCTGTGGATGGGAGATTTCTCTTTTTCTGTATCCTTCCATCCTCTACCTCTCAAACATGCAAATTTTTACAAAAAATGTTAGGATGTATTTCAGGCTAATGAGAAAATGGTACCCCACAAAGACTGGTTCTATACAAAGGAATAAATAAAACAGTAAATACACATGCAAAAATGAAATTTCTTCATCTTAAATTCTAAATTTCTTTGAAAAATAACAACTATGTATTATAAGTTTAGTATTATATGTAGAAGTAAATGTGTGATTCAAAAAGCATAGAGACTTCTTGTGCATTATTAAAAGTATCTTTTATAGGAAGTGATATTCATAACAATATGGGAAGGTAGCAAACAGGTAGTCTACCAATTCCCTCTCCACTTGCTTAGGCAACTGCCGAGTCCCTAATGCTAGAGAAAGCTTTAGAAGACAGCTTCAGAGAGAATCTAGGGATCCCAGATGCCACACACAGCTAAGGGCAGGGATGAGATGCTGTACCACAATCAGGAAGATTAAGCTTGGACCAGAAATCTACAACTGGTGTTGAGTCTGCTCTGCTTCACGTCTACTTGCCTTCTCTACTACTTTCTTTCTTTCAGCTCAAAGGACTAGTCCACAAAACTGACACCGTATTTGCCCCATCTAGCCTTGCCAACCTATAATGCCACAACCATTACCTTAGACAAAATAAACATACCCCAATAGGTAGCAGACTGGAAGACTGCCATATCTGAGAAACTGAGTAGCTAACAAGAGCCACAGATATTGACATGTGGAGGTTTCCTACTAAATTAGAGCCTCACATATTTACCCCTCAAGGCAACAAGGCTGCCAGTACTATAGTGCTACCCACATGCACACCCACATATGCCTTCCAGGGAGCTTTCTTAAATATCAGCCAGCCAAGAAAGCCTATATACGAAAGGGAAAGAGTTAGGGTGGGAGGGGGAGAAAAAAAGAACTCAGAGAAAACAAGGCATGTTAGAAGGTAACTTAAAAAGAATTAATACCACCACCACAGAAGTGATACAATACTGCATCATGAAACAGAAAGAGCATTCTCTTTATAGGGAGCAATGATGTGTGCTTGTATATAAACACATTGAGAATAAAAAGAAGATGCAAGGAAAAGTGTAGTTCCAGTTATTTCATCTCAGCTGCAATATGGAGATGGTAGCTGGTGCTGGAATAGCCATTTTATACCCAAGACACAATCACGGTGACAATAGAGAGCAAGAAAACAAGAGCCCAAGTCTAATGACTCTGAGCTACCAGTGCAACTCTTTACTATGAGAGGCTCCAAACAAAGCAAACAAAAACGCGACTTAGAAAAATATACTGCCATTGTATTCTCTCTCTCTTGTGCCTTAATCACAAAATAAATAATACAGTATATGCTACACAATAAATTTTCCCACTAAATCTCAATAATATGAAACAAAGAAAATCATGTTCCAAGCTCCCTATATCATCATTCCTACTAACTATGCTTAAGTCTATCTCGTATCAGCCAAAAGAGCTGAATGCTAACACTTCAAATTTCAGTATTACATTCTAATCAAGCCCATCATGTGTAATAACATGCTATGCTGAAGAACCTATGGAATACAGCCCCAGGTGTCCACAGCACACTACTTTCATTGTTTTCAGACATTGCAGAATCACCCCACCAAGGCTTACCTTCAACTTCCCTTTAGCCTGACTTTCTTTTAAATTTATATTGGATGATTGATGGCCAGAATAATATTTTATCTTTCTGCACCTCTCCCTGGAGAAGAATACACCTTTTTGAAAATGGGACACTGGCAAACACCTGGAGTCCAAAATTAGTTCTTCATTTTTCTGTCCAGAGTGAGTACTGCAGATTATAAATATTCTTACTTTGCTACAGCATATCCATTCATACACATGCTATTCATTTTTTTTAAGATGTTCTTTTTTTTTTCCTTTTACTTGAAAGGCAGAATTACAAAAAGAGACAGAGACAGAAAGAGATCTCCCATCAGCTGGTTGACTAACCAAGTGACAACAATGACAAGTGCTGCACTGGTCCAAAGTCAGGAACCAGGAGCTTATTTGAGTTTTCCACGTGGATACAGGGGCCCAAGCACTTGAACCATCCTCTGCTGCTTTCCCAGGATATCAGCAGGGAAGCTGGATCAGAACTACAGCAGGCAGGGCTCAAATTCATACCCACACAGGATGTGGGTCCCCACAGGCAACTTAACTTGCTACGTCACAGTGCTGGCCCCAATGCATGAGAGATCTGGCCTGAGTTCTATGCTGTTTAATTTGGCCTAGACAAGCCCTCATTGCTGCAGGCATTGGGAGAATGAAACAGTGTACAGAAGATGCACGGCCGGTCTGCCTGTTTCTGTGTTTCTGCCTTTCAAACACAATGAAAACAAAATTAAACTAAACTAACACATTATTAAATATATATATTTGAAAGTCAGAGCTACAAAGAGAGAGAGTGACAGAGAAAAAAATCTTGTAGCCTAGCAACTAAATCCTCGCCTTGCACGTGCCGGGATCCAATATGGGCACCAATTCATGTCCCAGCTGCTCCACTCCCCATCTAGCCCCCTGCTTGTGGCCTGGGAAAGCAGTAAAGGACAGCCCAAGGCCTTGGGACCTGCACCCATGTGGGAGACTTGGAAGAAGCCCCTGGTTCCTGCCTTCGGATCAACTCAGCTCCGGCCATTGTGGCTACTTGGAGAGTAAACCAGTGAACAGAAGATCTTCCTCTCCATCTATTTGACTTTCCAAGAAAAATACATCTTTAAAATAAAAACAACAGAATTCTGTAATCTATTGAGGCACTGTTGTTTGCCCTTGTGAGATGGTTTTTGCAACTTTTGTGAGATTAGGAGTTAATGTTACTGATAATGTCTTGGTGAGTGGGCCTTTAACAATTCATGAGAATTGATGCACACAGGAGTACAGTTAAACCTGTAGTTGTAGGAGGATTTAATATTTGAAACTTTTGTGTTGGGTCTTTATCTTCTTTCCCTTTTGATATATTTCTCCCATTAAGTGATAGATAAGTTGTAGAAATAGAAATATAGTAGGAACGTATTACTGATTAAGCTGTAACTGCATGTGTCCTGGCCTTGGAGTTCTGCCTGTCATCCAATGACTACTACTAAAGAACGGATAATGCCTTGCTTTGAAGAAAAATGATTATAGTAACTTACAGAATTATCTTTAAGAGCACCTGGTCAACCATGAAGTAAAAAATAAAATAATCAAACATCTGTGCATGCCCTTACTCATGAAGTTAAAAATAGAACAATCAAATGTTCGTGCAGAGGCTTGTGATATGTCTGAGTAAACAAAAAGGACAGCTTCTTGAACTGTTGATGGAGGGCATCAGTGACCATGTTCATGTCTCTTTTCCGCACCAAATCCACATAACCTTTTCAAGCCCTGAACGCAGCTAGAGCTGGTCTCCGGCAAGAAGTAAAGCAGCCAGGACATGAACCAGCGCCTATAAAGGATGTCAGTGTTGCAGGTGGTAGCTTAACCAGTTACACCAATATTCTTTTAAAAATATTCATCTTGGGCTGGTGTGGTAACCTAGGGGCTAAAGTCCTTGCCTTGTATGTACCGGGATCCCATACATCCAGGTTGCTCCACTTCCCATCCAGCTCTCTGGATGGGAACAACAGCTCAAGGCCTTGGAACCTTGCACCCGCATGGGAGACTTGAAGGAGGCTCCTGTCTCCCGGCTTCAGATGGGCTCAGCTCTGGCTGTTATGGCCACTTGGGGAGTGAACCAGCTGATGGAAGACCTTTCTCTCCATCTCTCCTTCTCTCTGTGAATCTCACTTTCCAAAAATAATGAATAAGTTAAAAAATAAGCTCATCTTAGAGCTAGGGCAGTGGTGCAGCATGCTAGCTCTCTGTCCTGTGGCATTGACATTTCCTATGGGCACTTATTTACGTCCTAGCTATTTTACTTCCCATTCAGTTCTCTGTTTATGACCTGGGCAGTAAATGGAGAATTGCCCAAGATCTTGGAACCCTGCACCCACATAGGAGACCTAGAGGAGGCTTTTGACTTCAGATCAGCTCAGCTCTGGCTATTGCATCCATTTGGAGAGTAAACCAATAGATGGGAGATCTTTCTCTCATTTTCTTTGTAAAATATGCCTTTCAAATAAATTAAATATTTAAAAAAATATTCTCTTCTTAAATAGGGTTTAAAGACTAGGAAGATAGTTGGTATGTATCTATAGGAGAAAAAAACATATTTGTTAAAGTTACCCAGTTGAGAGACTGGTATTGTCAGGTAGAGGGTTAAGCGGCTGCTATAGTGCTAGTATCCACCAGTTCAAGACCAAACCGCTCCATTTTAGATCCAGTTCTGTTAATATGCCGAAGAAACCAGCAGAGGATAGTCAAGTGTTTGGGATCCTGCACCCATACGAGAAACCTGGAAGAAGTTCCTGGCTCCTGTCTTTGTCTGGATCAGCTCCGGTCATTATGCCTGATGGGGACTGAACCAGGAGATAGAAACCCTTTCTCTTTCTATCTGTCTGTCTCTGTGTGTATGTGTGTAATTATGCCTTTCAAATAAATAAAACAGAGGATGGTGCTGTGGCAAAGTTAGCTAAGCCTTTTGCCTTAGGCACCAGCATCCCATACAGACACTGGTCCTAGTTCTGGCTGTTCCACTCTTGATCCACTTCCTGCTTATGTCCTGGGAAAGCATCAGAGGATGGCTGAAGTGCTTGGACCCCTGTATCCACATGGGAGACTCAGCAGAAGCTCCTGGCTTTGGATCTACCCAGCTCTAGATGTTGCAACCATTTAGGGAGTAGGCCAGTGAATGGAGATCTAGCTCTAGCTCTCTCTCTCTCTTTCTCTCTCTCTCTCTGTCTTTCCCCCTCTCTCTAACTCTTTCGGGTAAAATGAATAAATCTTTAAATAAAATGTTTTTAAAAAGAAGCTACCCAGCTGAACTTAATGAGTTTTGTTTATATTTGAAATATTTATGTTATGCAAAACCATACCCTGTGTTTCCAATCTTCAAACAAACCAAAGACCAATGTAGAACCATACACTGTAAAACATAGAGTGGAAGAGGTTCTTATAAATCATTACACAGGATGACATAACCTGGTAAAGCAATGTGACATTCCCACAATGCCACAACTCCCCTAAAACATGATAAGTGCCAGTTCCGTGCAGCCTCCATCACAGTCCCTAAGATTATTTTATCTTCTCTCTACACATTTCCTCAACTGATCTAGGCAGTATCTCTCAGTTTGGGAAGCAGCAATGGTAAAAAAAAAAAAAAAATCCCTCATATATGTGCACTTAAAGGAGAGAGACGTTGCTAATAAATAATCAAATTAAAGTAAAAAACACCTTACCACAGAATGAATGTAATTAAAGGAAGATCCATCAGCCAAATTTTACTACCTTCATATTATAATGCACTATCAGTTTATATTTTAATAACTGCTTAAAACTTCAAAAGTACAAATAAAAAGGTAGAGATTTTACTTCTATATTCTTTCCTACAAAGGAAAATATATGAGAGACATATTTGCAGAACAGAAAAATAAGCAAAAAGGATATTATTAAATCAATAGGACTTAGGTGTTTTAGCAAAGTTTTTAATATTCTAAATTTAGCTATAATACACAAAAAATATAAATCAGATTATGCAACTGTCTCTTCTGACAGAAAATGAAAAAAAAATTTACCTTCTCAATATTTATCTGGTGTTTTCTTAATCTTTCCAGGTCTGTTGGGATTACTATCTTCGTGAATTTCTGGATAGCTGGCTCAAGACGGCGTAATTTCACTTTTTCTTCATCTTCAGACATCCTAGAAAATGCTGTGTCAATTCTACTGGCAAGAACTGTCTTCTCCACTCATACAGGACAAACCTAAAAAGGAGATAGTTCTTTAAGGATTTTTAAAAGCAGCTTTCATTATTTTTTTTTAAAGATTTACTTATTTATTGGAAAGTCAGATATACAGAGAGGAGGAGAGACAGAGAGGAAGATCTTCCGTCCGATGATTCACTCCCCAAGTGAGCGCAACAGCCGATGCTATGCCAATCTGAAGCCAGGATCCAGGAACTTCTTCTGGGTCTCCCATATGGGTGCAGGGTCCCAAAGCTTTGGGCCGTCCTCAACTGCTTTCCCAGGCCACAAGCAGGGAGCTAAATGGGAAGTGGAGCAGCTGGGATTAGAACTGGCGCCCATATGGAATCCCAGGAGTGTTCAAGGCGAGGACTTTAGCCACTAGGCCATTGCGCTGGGCCCAGCTTTCATTATTTTTAAAAGCCAAAAGTCAGGAATCTTGGTGATGTATTATAACTACATATCTAACTCAATATGGAAATTAGTGTTGTTTTCTAGGAAACTATTTTAAAAATTTATTTTTCCCTTTATGAAAGCTAAACACTTTAGAACATTTAGAAATACAAACAAATAAAATAAAATCAACAACTATCTCCTTACCCATAGGTAACTACTCCTTATATTTTGTTGTATGTTTTTCCAAGCTTTTCTTCCATGTAATTATACAGGGGCCACCACTGTAGCACAGTGAGTTAAACTGCTACTTGAGACACCTACATCCCATACTGAGGAGTCAGTCTGAGTCCCACCTACACCATGCTTCTAATCTAGCACTGGCTAATACACCAGGAGTACTCAGGTTCCCACTACCCATGTGGGAGGGCAGTCTTAGCCTGGTCTAGTACTGGCTGTTACAGTGACCTAGGAAATAAATCAACAGATAAGAAATATGTCTCTCTATGTCACTGTGCCTTAAAATAAAAGCGTAATCTTAAAATACACACACACACACACACAGTACATATGCATGTAAATAAATAACTTTTTAAAAACTAGGACTGTACTAGCTCAGGTTTTCATTTCTTGATATATTTGTAGCTTGACACTAAATAACCTGTTTTAAAAGGTGTCAAATGGCAAAATTTTTTAAAAATTCATTCTTTTATTTTTATTGGAAAGTCAGATATACAGAGAAGAAGAAAGACACAGAAAGGAAGATCTTCCATCCAATGATTCACCCACCAACCAGCCACAATAGTAGGAGCTGCACCAATTCGAAGCCAGGCACCCAGAGATTCCAATCTGATTTACTTTGTCCAGCAATAATATTACTAGTTAACACAGATTTCTTTGATTTATGTAATTTAAAATACTAATAGGCTGTTTTTAAAATGTTAGAAGGTAATAGGCATTTGGGATAATGTTTTGTAAATCTAAATTTAACAGTTTTCACTTAATACTGTTCCTAAGAATAAACATGGTAGCTCAGATCTAAGGCCTCCCTCAATAGCCTCAGGATTGGGACATAGTTAAGAGGAAACACCAACATTTTAAAGTTATGCTTTAAAAGCAGAGGGGGGAATATGCCACCCCTGTGAATGCATTAATTTGGCCTTCTTCACCTTAAATTTTCTTGATTTTGCCTTCTGGTGAAGCACCAGCTGTGTGTTACTGGAGGTCATTTTGCAGGCTCAATGCAGATGCTTTGGTTCCACGGAGGGACCCAGCCACTCACAAATGGAGAGGTCCTGACTCCTTGCTAACTGTGGCAAGAGGGTTTGCTTTTGTTTTCCTAGACCCTGAGCTGCAGCCTGTGCGGGTGCCTACTCATAATGTAAAGCCCTGGACTCCATTCACTGGAGGAAGTGCCTGCAGTAGGACAACTTCCCGACCCCATCCTAAAAGATCCATCACCATCAAGGACACATTGGAGGAGAAGAAGGCCAGACCCCTCCCAACACCGGGTGATATGGGGGATTTTAAGAGATTGGTGCATCAAGTACAACTGTCCCTGTTTGGGTGCCACTTGTCACTGTCCCACAGCAATGGATTTGGTGCATGAATAATAACTGGCATGGACTCTGATGGTCTAAAGCCAAAGTTTTTTAGTGGCATCAGACTTTATACACTGAGGATCATATGGGATAAGGGAGGAAGTATTGAGCTTATCAACAAACCCATCAACTCTTTCTACGCTTTTGTTTGGAACTCCTTTTGTCTTGTATATTCCACCAAGTGTTCTCATACACATGCTTTCCTCTCAACTGTTCCAATACCTGATATCCCATCAGGTGTACAAAAGGTAGCCATTCACTTGTTCTCATGCAAAAGATATCCAATCAGTCACACAAAAGGCACCTATTCAGTTGTTTTCATACAAATATTGTCCAATCAACTTTGTAATCCTGTGTTCCCTGACCTTCCAAGGTCACAATGTGCTCCTACAGTCTCCCACACAGGTGCAGGGTCCGAAGGCTTTGGGCTGGCTGTCCTTGATTGCTTTCCCAGGTCTCAAGCAAAGAGCTGGATAGGAAGCGGGGCTGCTGGGATAAAAACTGGCGCCCATGTTGGATCTCAGTGCGCGCAAGGTTAAGACTTTAGCCGCTAGGCAATAGTGCAGGGTCCAAAAATTTAATAAACTCCTATTAAACTCTACTTCCTTAATTTTAAGGTAACTGTATAATATTTGACTATTATTTTTATTGCAAAGTCAAATTGACAGAGAGAAGAGACACAGAGAAAGATCTCCCATCCATTGGTTCACAAAGGCCAGAGCTGAGCCGATACAATCCCAGGAGCTAGGAGCTTCTTCTCGGTCTCCTGCATGGGTGCAGGATCGATCCCAAGGCCTTGGGCTGTCCTTGCCTGCTTTTCCAGACCACAAGCAGGGAGCTGAAAGGGAAGTGGAGCAGCCAGGATATGAATTGGTGCCCACATGGGATCCTGACACACTCAAGGTAAGGACTTTATCCACCAGGCTACCACACCAGTCTGTAACTATGTAATTAAAGTAATTATACACTTCTACTATATCATAACATAAAAATCTTATTGATGTACTTTAAATTGCCTCTACCCTTTCTTACAAAGTAATTAGTATTGTCCACAATCCACACAAACATCCAGTGACAGAGGTACTAAGAAATTATATTCCTAACAGTACAATCAAATGTTTTTCTGTTCACGAACAATTATTTACCAGTGTTTGAAAAAACAAAAAAAGTCTAAGAGTGTGCCTTTAGGGCCAAGTTAGGAGATGGCAAGGAAATGAACAGACCCAGGACCCCACCCAGAATTCACGAAGAGAAAATTAGATCTGCTTTATAAATTGGAGTTTATCCAGAGTTTATCAGACTTTATATGAACAACAGGCTCCAATATATTAACCACACTTGAAAATCACTGTTATATACTATGCCAGCTTAAAAGCCACAATTTTTTCATATCCAAAAATAATTTTAGATAATCTTACTGTAATCACTGGTCTTCCTATCTCAGGTTCCACAGATATAGTAGTTCCTATACTTTATTCAGTCCCTCAAGAGTTTCAGAAAATTGTGACTATTTTATTTTGAAGATAGAGTTAATTGCTTCCCAGAGATTCGCAGAGATCTATCATCTCAAAAACATTAAGAACCACTGCTCTAAATTCTCTAAATCTCAATTTTCTTCCATTGTTGAAAATACTAAAGTATAGTTTGTATGGATTGTCGCTACCAGTCATTCACCAATAACTTGGTTTTCATGTTTGATATCTCCCCATTAAAAAGAAAAGAAAAAGATTTCCAGATACCAAAAACAAAAATGGTAATACAACTATAATCATGTGGGGGCCAGCACGATGCAACATAAAGTTAATTCTAGTGGAGCTAGCATCCTATACAGGTACAGGTACAGGTTCTAGTCCTGGCTGTTCCACTTGCGATCCAGCTCCCTGCATGGGAAAGCACAGAAGGATGGCCCAAGTGGTGTGCAGACCCAGAGAAAGCTCCTGGCTTCGGACTAACTCAACTCTGATCCAATACAGCCATTTGCGGAGTGAATTAGTGGATGGAAGATCTTTTTCTGCCTGTCCTCTCTCTCACTGTAACTCAGATTTTCAAATAAAATAAGTAACCCTTTTAAAAAAATTATAATAGAAACTGCAAAAACTTGGAGAATCTTACTGCTCAAGAAGAAAGTCCACAACTTCCACTCACTCCAACAAAGATATCAGGAGAATTCATAGCCCAGCAACCAGAAATAATAATCCAAACATAAATCATGATTTTAAATATTGACAAATTTAAAAAATTACATGATATTAATGAAATAATAAGTTTGTCGTACTATAAGACAGGTAAAAATTCTAGAAATGAAAACCTCAAAAGATGGATTAAACAGTAAATGACACAGTTGGGGGCCCAGCATGGTGACCTAGCGGCTAAAGTCCTCACCTTGAACGTGCCAGGATCCCATATGGGATCTAATTCGGGTGGTTCCACTTCCCTTCCAGCTCCCTGCTTGTGGCCTGGGAAAGCAGTTGAGGATGGCCCAAAGCCTTGGGACCCTGCACCTGTGTGAGAGACTTGGAGAAGGCTCCTGGCTCCTGGCTCCGGATTGAGCAGCTCCAGCCATTGTGGCCACTTCGGGAGTGAATCATTGGATGGAAGATCTTTCTCTCTGTCTCTCTTCCTCTCTATATTTCTGACTTTGCAATAAATAAATAAAATCTTAAAACATATACAGTATAACTGCTCTTACAAGTACGTTCATACTGCCATCTAGATTATTTTTTTAAAACACATGGATATAGAAGTATTAGGTTAACACATTGTTAAGGTTTTAAAAATATGTGTTATCAAACATCCCACAGAAGGTTGGGCCCATTTATAGCCCTACCAGCAATATATAACAATATCTACTTTTAAAGGTTTTTTTTTTAAACTGGAAATGCAGATTTACAGAGAGAAAGAGAGACAAAGATCTCCCATCTGCTGACTCACTTCCCAAAGGGCAGCAATAGCCAGAGCTGAACTGATCCAATGTCAGAAACCAGGATCTTCTTCTGGGTCTCCCACATGGATGCAGGGTCCCAAGGCTTTGGGCCATTTTCCAGTGCTTTCCCAGTCCACAAGCACAGAGCTGGAAGGGAAGTGACGTGGCTGGAACATGAACTGGCACCCATATGGGCTGCTGCACTTGGAGGTAGAGGATTAGTCAGCTGAGCCACTGAGCCAGCTCCCAGAGTCTTCTTAGTGATCCCTAATTGTTGACTGACTTGTCCTCACTGTTCTGCTATACTATCTAATGACTTTCTTTTTTTATTAAATGGCATTTCCAGATTAGGGTCATACAAGACTCAGCTTTCTGTATATAAGGAAATGTGCTATCATCGAACCATTTCTCAGGAAAATATACTGTTCCAAGAACATCCCAAGAAACTTTTCCAACTCTCAATCTCTTTCTAGCTAGTATTTTTGGGTTTTTTTTCTCTATCATTTTCCATTTTTATAAAACTACAATTAAATATGTGTATGAAACTAAGAGCACAAAACCACAATCCATGATGTTGTCAAAACCAAAAGTTGTCTACCAGTGAATCTGATCATAGAATAACTCAAATTTTTGAAAACTTTTTATGGGAAGGTTCTAATTCACTATATAAAATGCAGGTTAAATGTCTGATTTAATAATGAATAAAAGCACATTTCAGCACTTTTTGATTTTCCAGTCATGAATTTGGGATATATTTCAGATATAATTAAGACAAAATAATTCCCACTGATGTCTTTTTAAAATGTTTAGTTTTCGACTACTTGAAACGCAGAGGAACAAAGAAAGACAGTGACTGAAAGATGTTCTACGTGCTGATTCATTCCCTAAGTGTTCCCAACATCTCAGGAGCGAGCAGGCCGAAGTTAGGAGCCCAGAACTCCATCCAGGTCTCCCATGTGGATGCAGAGGCCCAACCACCTGATACCATCTGCTACCTCCTGGGATGCATTATCAGTAAGCTGGATCAAAAGATGACACAAGATAGCCCTGGAGTATCTTAGGTGCTGAGAGTAATAAAATTGTAAAAAAAAAAAAAAAAAAAAAAAAAAAAGAAGAAGGTTATGTTAAAAGGATACAGAATGATGTTATTGGAAAATAATTCTAACCTCAAAGCTGGAACAAATTACAACATTAAAATAAGAAAAGTGTAAGATCATAATCAATAGGAAACTAAGTATTTGAGTCCACACTGATACAAATCAGTAAATACAAATAAATGAATGGGGCACGTGAATATCATTACATAAGAACTCTAATTAACAAATAGGTAAGTAAAAAAAACAACCACCACAGTAATAATCACTAAGATCCATCAATGGATGCTATGTTAGCAAGGGACTGTGAGAGGAAACACGGGATATTTGCATAGTTTCCTCCCAAGATAACGATTAATTCCCAAACAGTAACATTACATTGGAGAATCACAGCAAGCATCTTCTTAAGTAAGATCATCAAGTTAATATCATGTACTTCTGAAGTGACAAACTGGGAAGGGCACATTTTTGTGGCAGCACCAGCAAAAAAAAGGCATAATCTTAACATAATTGTGAGAAGCCATGGGACAAGCTCCCTTTGATGAACACCACGAAAGCACTGGTTAGGATTCTTTGAAAATATAAAGGTCATAGGGACAGGGGACGGGAAACTCCAATGCCTATTAAACTGTGTCATAAAATAAAAAATTTTAAAAAGGGGTCATAGGGGCTAGCATGGTGGCATAGCAAGCTAATCCTCCACTGTAGTACCAGCATTTCCATATGGATGCAGTTTGCATTCTGGCTGCTCCACTTCTGATTCAGCTCCCTATTAATGGTTTGGGAAAGCAGAAGAGGTTGGCTCGAGTCCTTGGCCCCCTACACCTGCAAGGGAGACCTAGAAGAAGCTCTTGGCTCCTACCTAGACCTGTAAAGCTCTGACCATAGCAGCCTTTTGGGGAGTGAACCAACAGATGGAAGATCTTTCCGTCTCTCCCTCTCCCTTATTTATTCTTTCAAGTAAAAGAAATCTTTTTTAAAAGAAAGTATAAAGGTCATTAAAGACAACAAAAGATATAAAAATCATCATGGAATGCAGAACAGGACCCAGACGGACCATGACAATACTACATGGAGTCTTAGATTGGTCCTGGATTAGGAAACCGATCCAGTCTAAAGAAAACAGTACAGTTAACAGTACTACTGCTATAATTCTAATGCTACTTTATTTTTTAACAACTGTACTGTAAAATAATAACACTGGTGGGTACTGTAGAGAATTCTAGAATTTCGACTGTAAATTTATCTCACATTCAATTAAAACAAAAACCTAAAAGTTGATGCTTTCCCCAAGATCGTTGAAAACATCCAGACCTGGCGCGATAGCCCAGTGGCTAAATCTTCCCCTTTTATGTGCCCGGATGCCATATGGGCACCGATTCGTGTCCCAGCAGCTCCACTTCCCATCCAGCTCCCTGCTTGTGGCTTGGGAAGGCAGTCGAGGATGGCCCAAAGCCTTGGCCTCCTGCACCCACATCAGAGACCAAGAAGCTCCTGGTTCCTGGCTTCAAATTAGCTCAGCTCCGACCGTTGCAGCAACTTAAGGAGTGAACCAGCGGTGGAAAATTTTTTTCTCTTTGTCTCCATCTCTCTGTGTATCTGCCTTTCCAATAAAAATGAGTAAATCTTAAAACGAAAACATTTAGAAATCAAAGAATCACAACGTTATAATATTCACAGTCCCAATTATGGCAGTGGTGGATACCAGGTGCGTGCCACATGTTGACAACTACTAAGAGCTCGGTACCACAAGACTCATGTTTGTGATAAAGAAAAAGTACTAAGAGGTTAGCTAAGGTATTTAAGAGGTTTTTTTTTTATAAGTAAAAACTTCACAATTTCCCAGGAAGTCTCAAGTTGTGGACAACCTGGCCTTGGGTCTGTCAGCAGTGCCCGATTTTTGTGTGTTTTGAACTGATAATGAACTTGAAAAGTCAAGCCTTTAAGTACCACCTTACAAATGTTCTGAATTCTACACCTCAAAGGAACGAACCTGCAGGCTGCAGGCTCCAACCTCTGGCTGCCCGAGCCTCCCCTCACGATCGTGGGGCGTCACCCCTCGTAGTTCACCCACCGCCACCTGGAGGACTAAGTACTCCAAACCCCTGCCCGAGCGAGCCGACGGGCGGGCCTGTCACACACCGGGGCCAGCCAAGCGGCCGCGGGCAGGAGAGGAGCCGACCCCAACACCGAGAGGCCATCGCGCTCGGCCCGTCCGCGGCCTCCCCACACCAGCTGCGAACGCTGGGCTAAAAACGAAACTGGAGGCAGAGGCTCCGCCACTTCTGGCAGCCAGGGTCACAGCCAAGTCACTGGCTCTTCTGGCCTGACGCTGGGCTTCCTGCCAGGCGTCTCCACCACGTCGGGCTGAGGAACCGCGTCCCCCGCGCCTCACACGACCCGGCGCCCCTGAGGAGTCCTCCCGCCAGCCCCTTACCTCCCGCCCGGGCGCTCGAGGCCGGCCTTGTGCCCGGCGCAGGCGCGGGCGCGACGGGGCGGGGCGTCGCCAGGGACGAGCCGCGCTGGCTCCGCCCCCTCCCGCCCCTCGACGTCGCCCGGCGGGCTTTGGTGGTCGCTAGGTGAGTACAAATGCAGGTGCGGTTCTAGCCGGTGGAAACTCAGTCTAAGGAATGTTCTGGGTTTGCCTTGTGGTGCTGTGACATGGGAGCCCACAGAAGAAACCACTCAAGCGCTTTTTAAGTCGCTATTGTGTTGGCGGGCAGTTCCCATTTGTCTCCTCTTCTGTTTTTTTGTTCTTTTTCCATCTATTTTCCTAGAATGTAATGGTACACATTCTTGCCCCTGTACATGTGTAGAAACAAAACGAAAATGCTGTGCTTTCTCCTCCGAACCGAAAAGCGCCGTGAGTAGTAAGTAGCTTATTCTGTCACAGGCCCAGCATTTGAAGCTCAGACTGGTTGCAATGAATTCCAAAAACTGTTTGTACCCCAGTTTTATAGAGGGTGACTCTGAGGTTCAACAAAGATTTATGAGGCTCACTCCAGTCCAGCCCGTTTGTGACAGGGAGGGAGCACTTGGATGTCCTAATTTACTTCCGGATGCTATTCTAGTTAGACCAGCTCCTGCCATGTGCACCAGCAGGTGCCTGACTTGCGAGCCCAGTCCAAGATACAGGTCCTCCTCTCTGATGGCCTCGTTTCCGGACTCGGCCGTTTTTCCTATGTCGCTGTGATTGTTCACATGACTGGCTAAGAATACATTCAGTGACGGCAGCTGCTCTCTGGATGCGCAGACCAGAGCTAATGACATCCCGTCTGTAGGTTCTTCTGGTACACTGGAAATGGACAGATCATAAAAGATTGGGGCCCAGAAGGCATTAAGAAACCTTGCAAAGCAGGCCCAGCGTGGTGGCCTACTGGCTGAAGTCCTCACCTTATTCCCAGCTGCTCCACTTCCCATCCAGCTCCCTGCTTGTGGCCTGGGAAAGCAGTCAAGTATGGCCCAATGCCTTGGGATCCTGTACCCGTGTGGGAGACCTGGAGGAAGTTCCTGGCTCCTGGCTTCAGATTGGCGCAGTACTGGGCCGTTGCGCTGTCTTGGGAAGTGAATCATTGGATGGAAGGTCTTCCTCTCTGTCTCTCCTCCTATCTGTATATCTCACTTTGCAATAAAAATAAATAAATCTTTAAAAGAGAAGAAGAAACTCTCACAAGGCAATTTTTAAGTTAACCAAAAAAATGTGCTTAGCAAGTTGGGTTTTCTTTGGTGGCACAAGGGCTGCTGATGTTCATATGTTTTACAGTAGCCCTGGGAATGAAGAGTTTATAGAATTTTAATTTTGAGGAGAAAAAGTTTTGGTTTAACAGTTTGACAGGTAGGCTGATAAGAAGTTGGTCAGAGGCCCAACGTGATAGACTAGTAACTCAAGCCTTCCATGCACTGGGATCCCCTATGAGCACCTGTTCTAATCCCGGCTGCTCCACCTTCGTTCCAGCTCCCTGCTTCTGGCCTGGGAAAGTGGACAAGGGCAGCCCAAGGCCTTGGGACCCTGCACCTGCGTGGGAGACCCAGACGAAACTCCTAGCTCCTGGCTTCAGATCAGCTCAGCTATGGCCATTGTGGCCACTTGGGGAGTGAACCAGTGGACAATCTTTGTCTCTCCTTTTCTCTGTAACTCTAACTTTCCAATAAAGATAAACAAAATCTTTTTTAAAAATTAAAAAAAAAAAGTTGATCGGGTCCCTGTTGGATTGAGGAAAGGCAGGCAGGGGAGGAGGATTTGGGGGGCAGGGAGTCTCTTTAAAAAAGTGTACAAGATGCTTACTTCTGCCCAGAAGGTGTATTTAGCCAGACAAAAGTGCCATTCCACCCTTCTGATTTCCTGCTTTTCTCATAAGATAGAAGTTAACAGCCATACTTTTGAAGTGGCTTTTGTGCTTTATCTTGAGCAGGCTGGGAAGGGCTATGGTTTCAGCCCTCTGATTGGGGTTTGTCCCCACCCTCTGATTGTTAACTATTATTCTTTTGCCTGAATTGTGCTTAGAAGACATCACTTGGAGAATTGTCTTGGACTTCTCTCGGAGGCCACCCTTCTGGCTGCTGTGGGGAGGTTTCCATCTTTACTGATTCTTGCTCTGCTCACTGGTTTGTCCGCTTGGAAATCTTTCATGTGGGATAGGAACTGAGGTTGCCTCCTTCCTTCGTACCATTTCTTTGTAATAATTCCTTGGCATAATGATTTTTATGCAAGGGCCAGTTAAACATTTGGAATAAGAACATTTGTGTTAAGTTCTGAAAAAACTATTCAAAGTACAAGAAGGAGATATGGTGCTTGAGGATTCTAAATTTTAACCTGGCTTTCTAAGTTGTTACATCTTTGTTTGCTGTGAGGTGTGTCAAAAGAGGGAGATAAAACTTTTTAATCTCACAGGTGCATACTTGATTTACAGTATTTACATATGCCTTTTTGTATTCTTAGTCTGTAAAGGTGTGGCATGCCGACTGCAACTAGCCAAAACGTTCCTGAAGTATTAAAGCAACCCAGTATGACCAAACAAAGCCAAACACTAAGTGTATATATTGAAAGAAAGATGAAGCAAACTGTTTCAGGTGTTAGGACAAATTTCTTGGAGAATGCATGGGAAAACAAGCTCAGTAAGGTAGTTACAGAGTTTTCCTAAAATAACTATCACCAGTTTTAAAATGTTGTGGGGAGAAAAGATGACTCTCGTAAAATAACAGGGCCCCATGTGGTAGCCTAGTGGCTAAAGTCCTCGCCTTGCATGTGCCAGCATCCTGTATGGGCACCTGTTCTGATTCCAGCTGCTCCACTTCCCTTCCAGCTCCCTGCTTGTGGCCTAGGAAAGCAATCAAGAATGGCCCAAAACCTTGGGACCCTGCACCCAGGTGGGAGATCCTGAAAAGGTTCCTGGCTCCTGGCTTTGGATTAGTTCAGTGGAATACCGGGTGCTATAGGCTTTATACCACCCTGAATGCGCCCGATCTCGTCTGATCTTGGAAGCTAAGCAGGGTCGGGCCTGGTTAGTACTTGGATGGGAGACCGCCTGGGATTAGTTCAGCTCCAACCATTGTGGCCACTTTGGGAGTGAACCAGCAGATGGAAGCTCTTTCTCTCTCTCTCCTTCTTTCTGTAAATCTACTTTTCCAATAACAAAGAAATAAATAAATCTTTAAAACAAAAATAAAATTAAGGTTGGGTATTTGGTCTAGTGGTTTAGCTACCACTTAAGGAGTTGGTGTAAGGAGTAAAGTGGACTCACGGGTCATGGTCCCTGGTGGATTTTGCCGTTGAAAATATAAACTTGTCTCCCCTATTATGCCCCTTTGGAAAGGCAAGATCCTCCTGGTTTCAGGTTTTCTCATAAGAATAGCAACTGAGCAGTGAAGTAGAGCCCCAAAAAGCTATCTTTGACCGAATCAGAACATCAACCTCCATCTCTTTGAGCCTCCAGTTTTATCATGAGAAAGCTAGAAGACAGTCCTGAGCTATCAACTTATCCTGACAATGAAGAAAGAGGTTACCTATCACACCCCTCTGATGGCTTTTTTCTATCAAAGGGACCTGGACCAGAGTGTAGAGGCGAATCTTCCACCTTCAGCACTGCCATTCTTTATGGGCACTTTCCTGTCCCAGCTGCTCCACTTCCAACCCAGCTCCCTGTTAATGTTCTGGGAAAGCTCAAGTCCTTAGGGTCCTGCACCCATGCCAGGGACCCAGAGGAAGTCCTTGGCTTTAAATTGGCCCAGCTCCAGCCTGTTATGGCCATTCGAGGAGTGAACTGTTACCAAAAAATTTCTGTGGGTTCCTTCCTAAACTTAGTATAGAAATTAAAAATTAGGAATTCATTGCAGACCGAGAAGTTTTATTTGTGAAGTGAACTGTGATGAGGTAAGTAGCTAGTTCAGGGTCATGAGCTTGGAAGTCACTCCCCTTCCACCTGGCTGTTCCCTCCTGCCCACCTGTGACTCTCACCTATCACCTGAGAGGGGGCGGTATTGCATTGTTGTGTAGCCACTCCCCTCACAAGCCCCTTTAAAGGCTCATGTTAGGGAGGGGCTCTCTCTCTTGGTCCTTTGGGACTCTGACCCTTGGCCTCCCCAGTACCTCTGAGGACAGGTATCCCCTGAGCATGGCCCCTGTGTCTGTATTCCTCACTCTCTGTTTACTGTTTCGGTGGGACAATGTGAAGATAGCAATGCTAAGATGCTTTGTATTTCTAATATGTATACTATCAGGAATTCCAGGAGAGGTGAGACCTAGCAGTAATGGAATGTGGGCAGAGAAGTCAGGGAAAAGTGAATGTCTGCAGCTTTGTAAGTGTGTCCAGGTTATTCGTTGCACATCTTTTAGGATAACTTACATTGTTGGGGAAGCTGGGACATAGGTCTTCAGCAAAATGGATGGACTTGAGGGTAACGGTCGTTTGTTCCTCTTGGGGTAATGATTGGTTGGATATGCTATTTTCCAGTTTGCTATTTGCTATTGGTTGGTGTGCTATTTTCTAGTGAGCCCTGTTATCACCAAGCTTGGTCAATAAAGACTCCTTACACATGTCTGGTGTGGTCTCACTTGCAGCCGCAACAGAACAAGTGAATCTGAAGAGAAAGAGTGAGAAGGCACCTCCCAGGAGAAATCCAGGAAATACCGGGTCTCCTGAAAAGGGAGGCAGATTTCCAGAAGTGATTTGGGTTTTTAAGGATTCTCTGGATCTTCCTTATCTGGGAGGGAAGATCCTTCCTTCCGGTGGTTACGAACCAATTAGGAAACGGCTGGGTGATTCCTGTGTTGTCCACTTGGAGTTATTGGGTGACTGACAACTGATAAGTTTCCTGACAGTGCATGTGCAAGCATGAGGCAGTGAGGTGGCAGCCCAGGGAGAAGGGCCTCACGACGCTTCCCCCTGGACCTCACACAAGATTTTGGCAGGCTTGAACGTTCTCATCGGTATAAAGAGAGAGAAATAAGACATTACCTCCACCATTTTCTAGATTCTGACCTCTC